GCCCTAATCGCAGCGGGTGGTAAAGTAGGAATTAAAAAGAAAGGACCTAGGTAAATGGAGAGTAGGAATGAAAAGGGAACCTACGTGGTTATAAAACAAAACAAAACAAAACACATAAAACACAACAAACCGGTAGGGAATCGCAAGATTAGATCTACTTTATGTCAGTGATTCCTTGAGACTATTTTGGTCCTACCTGCTGGTATCTTAAAAAACTCCTTTGCGATTCGAAAGATGTAAATGACAGCTTACCCTCATCTCCTTCCTGAAAGCTAAGGACACAGCAAAGTAGATCTGCCTCTGAGACACAAAGATGCTTCCTACCATTCTCCTAAGATGGTGGAAGAGTCTCCCCTGGAGAGGCTTCCCCAGGAAGGAAAATTGAAAGAGGGGGGAGAAGAAAGCCGTCGCAGAATTCCCTTGCTCCGTTTCGTGCCAATGTGCTCGGTCCCATCCACTGGGCCACCGACCACTCTGGGCCGGCCTCCCCCTCCCGGGAGGGTAAGCCTTCCCAGGGCATTGTTTGGCCGGGGTCCCTATCGACTCCTCGGATCGCCTCCACCATCCCTGCAATTGGGATCTTGGGAAGCAGCCCCAGGACGGAAAGCTAGGAGAGTACTTGGTTTTCGAGAACCTCCTGCAAAGCCCCTCTTTCCTAACTGGTGTAGGAAGGGAAGGGGAGCCTGGCCTTGGCTTGGGCGGATGCCTTAGGGGTCAGAGGCGTCCCCTCCGCAGGAGTCGAAGGAGGTGGCCATTGCGCCAGGCCTCGGCATGGAGAAAGCCCGGCCAAGGCCAGGGGCCTCCTGGATCTCCGGACTCCCGGGTGGGGTGTCAGGTGCGGCCCTCCGTCCCCCAACCCTCCGTTTACCCACCGCGACAGAGTACAGGCCCCGGGCTAAGATAGGTCTCCCGCCCGATCGATCGCCGGGGACCGGGGACCCGGACTGGGGCCCCCCCGAGCCGCATCGTGCCCGCCCCCGCCCTACCTGTGGGGGCCCGGGCGGGGTCGCTAAGGGCCGCTCCCGGGAGCCCCGCGGCGGCGCGGCTCGGCGACACAGGCGCCTCGTCTCGCCGGGGCAGAGCTCGGCGGCGGCTTCACGGCCTCAAACTCCATCGGGAGCTACAGGGACAGCCCCGTTGGCGGCGGCGGAGGCCGCGACGGGGCCTCCTCCTCCTCCTCCCTCCACCTCCTCCACCACCACCGCCTCTTCACCATGGAGGCGGACCTGGAGGGATCCAGACCTAACTCTCGCGAGAAGATACTCCCCACATCACGCGAGAACACGCAAAGCCTGGAGTCAGGGCGGTGGGAGGAAAGCGTAGTGATAGCTCCAGCCACCTGGTCGGCGCGTTAGTCTCCCTCTGGTGGAGCCGGACCACCCCCGTCACGTGACCAGGGGAAACTGGAATATACCGTGGGAGGTGCTGTTAGGATGCCTAGGCAAGCTGAAGGGGTTTATGGGAAACTCCCAGCACACTCATCTGTTCCTGGAGCCAGCCTCTTCTTGGACATTGGTTTGAGCCAGTCTGCCCGCCCTCAGGATATTCGTGAAAATCGTGATATTCGTTTAACTTAATCTGATACGTCTGTATTACAATCTTATCACTCTCCCACAATCAGATGTTGACCCCATTCTTCAATTCCCTCTAGGTGCCAACCAATCTCCCTGATTTAAAAAAAATAAAAGAAAAAGAGAGCATTTGTTTGGCAGGCAATAACGCACACCTCTTTACTAACGAGAAAATTGTTTCTCAGAATCTGGCAGACATCAAAATTCAAGTACAAATTTTGGCACTAATAACTCCACAAAATTTGCTGCACGGTATTTCACAGTCAACTGCAAGGTATAAATTATTCTGTTTTTATATCGGGAGAAATAGGCTTGGAATAGGGACACGGGGATTAATATTTATGGACAACTTACTATGTGCCAGGTCCTGTGTTAATAAAAATTTCATTTTTATTATTTTTACTTTTATTTATAGTTCATTTACTCATCAAAATAATCCTAAAAGGCAGATACTATGTATTCTGTCCCTGAATAGAAGCTGAAAAACTAAGGTTAAAATGACCATGAATTGCAATTAAGCTCAAGGCACTTTCTAATATGAAACCAGATATCCAACAAAAGAATCTATAAAAGTAAACCCACCATGAATTAGAAGACATCTGGAAAAATAGTTTATAACTATAATGAGCTTAATAATAAATATTAATGCCTGGAAGACCAAAAAAGTACCAATTTTTAAAAATTCAGTGGCCACCCAAAGACTGTTCTCCCATACATTTTTATCCTTTTCATACTCTTCTATTTATGAAATATAAGCCAATCCTAGAGGTTCCCAACAATGGTTCATTTGATTCAGAATTCCATTGATGTGTGTGTTTGTGTGTGTTTTCCATTTTACTGGACAGTTGTACACGGTGATCTGATAAGTTTTTTCAAAGGTGGACTGACCACTCACTATATTTAAAATTACAATAAGAATTTCCTTTCCCTAGCACTCCCCACTCTATTTTCTCCAACTCCATTTCCAAAATCTAACATACATTAATTTTACTTATTTATAAATTTCATCTCCCTCCACTAGAACTTAGATTTCATGAGTGCAGGGGTTTTTGTTGATATACCTAACTTCTAGATATTGTAAGCACTCCGTAAATATTTGTTGAATGAATAGCCAGGAGAAATAGTTTCCTTCCTTAAAATTCATAGATGTACACAAAACACAAAGCTCACCATTCCCATCTCCAGTTTATTATTTCTTATGTAAACATATATGATAGTTACATCCAACGAAAAAGGGAAAGGATTTTCTCTTATACAAAAAACAAAACAAAAAAAACTACCTTTCCAAGATCTTTTACTCAAAAATGCAGTAAATGAAGAGGCTTAAGACAAATATTTTGCATTTTCCCCATCATATAGAAAAACAACCAACCAAAAGTGAACGTTTAAATGAATCAATTCAACACTTCACTTTGTCATGCCTGGATTTAAAAAAAATTTTTCATTTTCCTGAAATTGTTTAAGCACATCATGCAAACAGACATTCACCTAGAAATGTTTTGAGATCACTCTGTGCTAAATGGGCTGGAATAAATAAATAAATAACCATCACTTTCACAAAACACCCCTTCCCCACACGCAAAAATCTCAAAGTGCTTACAAAAAATTTCACAAGAATCTTACAAGGCACACATAAAACTTAAACATAGTTCAACCATAATTCTGTTTTAATATCAAAGATGAGTAATTCATAAAAAACAACAGCCAAAAAGCTTACTATTTGTTCACCCACCCCATCTGCATCCCTCCCCAACTAAATTTTACGTAGAAAGCAAAAATAGGAAAAGTATTTCAAACACAAACGATTTCTGATAGAAAAATGTCTACAAATGGCCAAGCATAGATCAAATGGGCAAGAAAATTTAGTATGGCACTATCATGTTCTCCAGTGGAAGAAAAACACTATTTGCTTTAGAAAATTTCTGTCTCTGAAGGAGTGCACAAATAGCAACATTCATAAAGACACCAAACTCTCTTTTGCTTTCCCCTCTCCTCTGTTCTCACGAACTCTGGAAGATTTAAATATAAAATCAGAGAATTTTAGACCTGGAAATGATATTACAAATGATCAAGATCAAAGTTATTATTTTGCATATAAATTTAAGAGATGCTCAAGAAGAGGTGACCTGTCCAATGATATAAATGGTGACCTAAGGGGTCATGAAGTTGGCTTTCTTATCAAATATGAGAGCTAGATTCTTTAAAGTCTCTCTCAGAGTTAAAATTCTATAGAAAATATATTTTTTTCACCAGTATCACAAAAAGAATAATTAACATTTGTAACAATCAATATGTGATTCCCCACAAAATTCTTATAAATGGTACAAAGTATGCTACATATTAAAATATGGAAGGGCTTCAACAGATACTAAATATAGCAGAAATGCTACATAAAGCTGAGGTGAGTAGAAGAGGAATAGAACATCTTGAAAATAGGATGCATCCAGTCAGGCTTCTTTACTAAAAGTGGTTCCTGTTTAGAAAATACGACTTGCCCTGCAATATATTTTAATCTGCTTTATGACAACGAAGTTTTGTGTAACATGGAGACAAGGATATTGGAAAGCAATGGCTCATAACACAATCTGAAATATTACTGTAAGTAAAATAACCATATGGTTATGGTTTTGCTTTTGGCACATTTCTGGAAATATAGCCTAAAACTACAGATGGCTAAGCTTTTTGTCAACATATAGTAAATACAAATTGCATGAATGTTAATGACTATTAATAATTAAGAGAACACTAATAGATATCCATGTTTAAACTGTTCGTCTAGTGATAAGAAAATTACTATGTATTGACAATTTGTAAAGAAAAGGGAATGACTACTGACACACACAAAATGGATGAATCTCAAAGGGCATGCTAGTTGAAAGAAGCATCTCAAAAGAGCTCATACTATGATTCCATTTATGACATTCCAGAAAAGGCAAGATATACTGATGAAGAACTGTTAGCAGGATTTAGAGTTAGGAGGAGGAACTATTGTAGCTACAAAAGGGCAGCATAAAGGAGTTTGCGGGGTCTGGGGGGGTGATAGAATGTTATGTATCTTGATTACAGAGGTGGTTGCATAAATCTATATATGTGTTAAAATTCATGAAACTATATACCAAAAACAAATCCTTTAGCAGATGGGATCACTGTTCGAGAAAGGAAATGAGCAATGAGAAGGAGCTAGATATGGGAAGTGTTCCTCTTACTTCAGAGATGTCTGCTATAAGTGTTTTGAGCATACCATTCCTATTACCTAGATACAAAATTGACAAAGGTCAGCTTTACTATATGTTAACTAAAAGATAAAAGCGTCACCCAGCTGACATGGCTCAGTGATTGAGTGTTGACCTATGAACCAGGGACACATGCCTGGGTTGTGGCTCAATCCCCAGTATGGGATAGCAGGAGGCAGCTGATCAATATCTCTCTCTCATCATTGGTGTTTTTATCTTGCTCTCCCTCTCCATTCCTCTCTGAAGTCAATAAAAATGTATTTAATAACAACAACAAAAGTGAAACAAATGCACACAAAAAGCTGGGATTTCTAAAAGTAATTTTTTAGAGCTTCAAGCCAATGGTATTTTACTGGCCACAAAATTATTAGATGCCACTGCATTAAATAAAATCAAGACACTTGGGCCTATTGAATAATTTATAAAATATGTATACTAACAAACCATAAAAATAATATTTTAAGAAATGTATAAGGAAATTCTGCTATTCCCAAGTGAATATGAATTGTGTTCTTTTACATTTTATAACAATAGGTACCTTTGTGTTTAGTTTGCAATCCAAAAGCAGTAGGTTAAAAAATTTACTAGTCCTATCTGATTTTAAAGTGACTAATAATGGATCATAGGGTATTTTGAAATTTATCTTTCCATTATCTTAATTCATTAGTTATTACATGGCCAGATTATTTTTTACACTTCCATCAACTACATAGATATTCAAAATCTGAATATGGAAATTCTGCTGGATCCACTGTTATTAGAATCAATAATTATGTAAGAGAAGAATAATCTATCTCTAGGTATACAATTGGGACTTCTATAACACAAGATGTGAGATGGCATTCCATCAGCTTTCTCATGTCTCCCACACTTTGGGACTCTTAGTGTAAGTTTCAGAAAGAATAATGGGTAGGCAGACCACAAATAAGACCCAAAGATGAAGAGGAAAACCATATCACAAATGCTACATTTCTAAAGAAAGACTTGCCTAACATAGCTTCCATAGCAAGGTTTAATTCTACTTATAACAGATTTTGTTGGTGGAGATCACGGATAGGTATTTTTTCACCACTGTTCCGGCCATGCACAGAGGTGACATGCTTTTTGAGGGCAGATTTGTGCTTGAAATCCATGTCACAACACTGGCATTTGTATGGCCGATCCCCACTATGTATGTTCAAGTGGTCCTGCAACGTGCTTTTAGCAGTAAATGTCTTCAAGCACACAGAACACTGGAAGGGCCGTATGCCCATGTGCCCTCGAATGTGCCGGTTGAGATTTTTCTTCTGTGTAAAGGTTTTCCCACACTGTAAGCATAAGAACAGTTTATGCATCTTAAGGTGGCGCAGATAGTTTTCAACATGAAGAAATCCTCGTGGACACCTGGGGCACTGGTGCCTCAATGAATAAACATCTTCCAGGTTCTGAATCTCACTGGCTGTTCCATGACTTCCTTCAATAGTCCCACAAAATGAGCCCTGATCTTGATTCCCAGGAACTTCTGCCACTCTGCTCTCAACGGTAGAATTGATCAGTGAATGCTGTGTTTCCGAGAAATACATGCTTGCTTTTGAAGAAGTACAAGGCTGTGAAAACTGCTCATTCTCTACACCATCGGAATTTATAGATTCCACACGGAGGATACAAATTTCATTGTCTTTAAAACCTAGATCAACTGACGAGAGCTCTGGTGACTTCATTTCCTGTCTCTCTGATGTCAAGCTCTCTACTGTAGATGGCAAAACATTGCTTTCCTCTTCTTTAACGTGGAAATCTATGTTGACAGGACTATCTTCTGAAATTTCAATGATCTCACAGTCTTTATCTGTATTTTCCTCCTCATTTTTAACATCTGGGTTAGAGGACTGACACAGGTCGGTGTGTTGGTTGTTGTTTTTCATAGAAAGGTCAATCTCCAGGTATCCTGACAAAGCTTCTGTACACTTTTCCACAATGTGAACCATCTGAAGGTAACTAGCAGCAGTCAAGTATTTCAAAAGCTCTTTCCTTTTCACTTCAAGCGCTCCAGTATAGCAAGAGAGCAACAATTTCCTGCCAACTTCTGCACTCTGCAAGATGGTAATTCTGACATGTTTTGATTGTGTGAGTAAAAACTGATCTCTCATGAAAGTGGAGCAAGCAGCTAGTATCACCTTGTGCCCTTGGAACTCGGTGTCATTGATATAAATGGATACATCACAAAATAAATTCTGCTGTCTCAAGAGATTCATTTTCTGCAAGACTGCATCTCCTTGCTGTTCAAACTGGAAGTGCAGAACATCAGACTCTGCAGCCATGGTCAAAATCTAAGCAAAATATAATACAAACATTGATGTAAGGAAAGGAAACGGTTTCCTACACTGTCCTAGTAAGAACAAACAAAATTTTAAAATTCCAAACCTGAATTGGGTAAAAGAATACTCACTCAAATTTTAATCCGGGTGCTAAGAATAAATTCCAGAAAACTAAATCTCAAAATCCAGAAAAATTAAAATGCATTTCTCTCTGATCTCATGGCACATTTTTCATATTTTTACTAACAGCACTTATATTATATTGAATTGTACTTATCAGTTTCTATGTTTTTCTCCTCGGTTAAATTTATGTGTCTTGTATTGTTAATGCCCATTACTAAATGGATTTAAGTCTCCCAAATTAGAGACCTTAATGTAATCTCCAAACTTTAGACTCCCCATCAGAACTGCAGGACTTTATTCGGTTCACCTGGACCACTGCCATGTCTTCCAAAAGTTCTCCCGAAACCGGCCTTTTATATTTCAAACTATCCTCCTGAGTGCCATCAAAACTGACATCTTTTAAAACGTTTCTTTTTCTCCTCTCTCTACCTACGGGACAGCCTAACCTCCTTAGCAAATAAAAAGTCACTCATGATTTGGCCCTAAGCATCTTTATAGCTTTATCTTTCCTCTACTCTTTTCCATGGAAGTTTCTTTGATATTCAGATTTTCACCATTGCCCAGGCCAGAAGACCCCCGAAAGCACTTTTGCACAGGTTACGCTCGCCCTTCCAGTTACTTTTCCCAGCTAGCGATTTAGCTCCTTTAAGGCCTAAACCAAGTAAGACTTCCTAGGCTCCTCCTGTCTCCCCCTTAAGAGTCGGTTGCTTCCTGAGCATCACGACCCAGCGGACACGGTGCCTCGTTCAACCGAGTTCCTGCAGCGAACGCTGGGGACCGGCACGGGGCCCGGAGCGGGAACCGCTTCGGGGACGTCGGGGAGCTGAGTCTGGATTCCCGCGGCCGGGGGATCCGCCAGGCAGCACAGGTCTTCCTGAGCCAAGTGACAGGACCCAGGCCCTGCCGACCAGGTGGCGGCAGGCCCAGTCGCGCCACTGCCGGCAGCACCCGCTGCCGCCCCTCCCCTCCTGCTCCTCCTCGTCCGGCCTCCCCACCTAGTCTCCCTGGCGCTCACTCACCCACTCCGAAAACCAGAACCGACGTTTCCGCAGCACAGCCCCGACCGGAAGGCGGACTTAGTCTGAAAGGAAATACATCCGGTGTCAACCACCTTTATCCCTCAGGGGGCGGGCGGAGCATCCCGGAAGAACATTCGGGGCGATCTTCCCTTCCTACTCCCCCCGCCCCGGCGGAATGACAGATGCCCGATTCCTGCAAATAAATCCCATCTCTCCCGTCCCTATATCCCTGCGGGAGCCAACTCCCCTTCTGAGTTCTCCCCGACCTCCGGATCACAGGCGGCTTGTGAAGTTAAGGTGACCAGATTAAAAAATCGGGACTTTCTTAAAACGCCGTGGGACGCGGGACAAATTGTTAAGAATCGGGACTGTCCCGCCAAAAGCGGGACGTCTGGTCACCTTACTAAAGGCACCAGGAACTGCCTTGAATTAGCTGGCTCTTAGTTGGTAGCCTGTCAAACCTTCAGGCTGCCTTCATCGTTGCAATTATCATTCCAGTTATAGAAATCTGCGTCCTATCTAAGCAGAGGTATTTAGGGCAGTGCCTTACTGATCTTTACAGTCCCCAAGGCTAGCACTGAGTAGGTATCCAAGTATTTGCCAAATGAAGGAATTTCTGAACCAGTTCTTAAAAGCATTTGCTTTACCCCTTCGACAACAGGCTCTCCTTTAAGTAACTGACCCTAGAAACAATTTCTGGTTAACCCATATTTGGTTCTGAAGCCAAGCTCAGCATAGTTTATTAATATGTGTTTTAAAGAATACAAATGAAGAAAGCATTCCTGTATTCAAATTCAAGCAATTGAAAAGGAAAGGAGGGGAGAAAAAAATAAACCACTCACACCAGAGCTTTAATTGTCACACTTTTATTAAGGAAACTTCCCCATAATAAGTGAAGAGGTAGTTCATAGTATGTCTAACATACAACAGGTTTAGAACAGCTATTCATCAGCTGAAATAAAATGTTCTAGGTGGTTGTTTGTTTGTTTTTAGGACAGTATTTAAAAGTAGTGACACTGGTCACCCTCCACTTACAGATTTTCTAAAAAAGAAACTAAAGTTAAAACCACATCTGATTTACCTCAGAGCTGCTTCAGTTTGGAGTTTGTCTTTAAAATTAAATAATAAATAAATAACTGTGATACAGTATCTTTTTTAAACCAACTACGGTAAAGAGTGTTCTCCCCTTTTTAGTTTTCCTGGGGATCCATGAAATACAAAATGCTGAGTAACGAAGGTTTTTAAAAACCTTCCTCTATAAAACGTACTTGATATCAATAACTATACCGCTTTGCAATACAATCTAAGAAACATGTATAAACAAAGGAGAAAAGTAAAATCCCACCAAAATTAAGAAAATGTCTCATAGAAACAGGACACCTCCCCAGCCAAAAGGTTTGCAGTACAAAAGGTGAGAACTGTAGCTTTTACAGATATAAAACCATCTAGATGCTGATTTTAAGTGATCAAAAAAGGCAAGGCAGTTTCCTTTATTAGTCCTACTATAAAATCAAATTGACATCTTAGCTCCCGAAGACTACACAAAACTGTAACATCTGTGAGAGCAGGGATCATTGTAATCTTACCTTCATGTCCTCATCATCTAGCATAGTGCCTGGCAACAGTAGGTGCTCAATAAATATTTCTTGAATGAATAGATGAACCCAGAAACAGTCTCCACACAAAGAGACCAATCTTTTTTGAACCCCTGATTTTTAGTCTTCAAACCAGTAACAAAAACAGGACATGAATATAAACAAAGGAAGCACTCCAACATGAAATTTCCATGATAAAATGATGTTCAAAGGTAATAGTGAATTGTTGGTTAACATGATAATGTCTCACTGTTGCACAGAATTAAGTCAGATTCACATATAAATGTATCAAATTATAACAATTTTAAGAATTCCCTGACTACTCAAGTCAAACTTAATTTTTGGCTTATCTGTATATGCACTCTCAGCTCAAATAGGAAAACAAAATCCTGATGGAAATTAAACACTGTTTCCAGACAAAATTTAGATCTTTCTTACATTTATACTTGTCCTTTTCCTCCCTAACTAATACCCAGCAAATCAGTCACTTGATTGGGAAGAATGTAATATTTATTCTAACTAAAAAATAACTAACAAAAATAAATCCTGTGATATTTTGTTTGCAAAATCCAGGCTGTCTTAGAAAGCCAATAGGGATTCACAAAGGTGAGTTTTTTGCTAATGTATTATTGATTATGTACTAAATCTTTTTAAGCCAAGGGGTAGTGAGAAAAAATGAAGAGACATTAGCTCATATTTAGTCACTTGTCTTATTTGGCTAACCTTGGCCAGGCCACCTCTTTGGGCTATGAATACCCCAACATAAAAAAAAAGAAAAAAAGAGGTGGAGTAAATTATCTCTTAAGACTCTCTAAGGATTCTAACACTTCTATTACCTATGTCTAACTCATGGGTCAGAAACTAAGATTCAAAATTTTATTTCTGAACTACAACACACAGTTGTTGTGTTTTACCATACTGGAAAATCAACTTTTGTATTAGTGATCTATCAAACATAGCAAGGTGGAGCTATAGGAATATCTGAATGCAAAAGCCTGGTTGCTCATTCCGAGACCCCCTTTTTTCATCCATTTTAGAAATTAAGGTACATGAGAAAATGAGAATTCAGAAACTCTTAGAGTACACTGAACAAAACTCTGAAGCCCAAACACCTTTCCGATGGCTAAACACCTCTCTGATAGCTAACCTCTAAAGCAGAGTCCAAATGCTGACTCCTACATAGTTTCTTTTTAGAGAAACGATTATACTTTAAGCACATTTTAAGCATGCTAGGAGCACCAACAAATAATTTACACATGAATAATAAGCATTTGGCTTCTTTTGAGGAAGGCCTCTCAAGTTAAATTGTAGTACAAATGTACTTATATCCTTTGTTGATTATGCTCCTCATGGCATACTTAACTGTGCCTGCAGGTGTTGTCGGAAAGATTGTACTCTTGTCTATGTGAACAATTCAGTGACATAAAGTTGGGCCATAATGCTTTTGAAAAGAATGAACAACTTAAAATACTTCTTTATAGCCAGTTCCAAGAAAAGTACAAATGGTAGGGAGTCATTCATTCATCTGACCAGACACAGATGAATTATAAATAGGCAACCAGAAGTTCTATCACATATTCAGGCCAATAGCAACATCACTTTATAGCTTAGCCTATTTTCTACCAAAGAAAAATATCATTCACTTTTCTCAGCATAGCATTCATTAGTGGACTGCAGGTGATGTTATTAACTTGTTGGTACCTTCAGAATGTGTCCAGTGAAAAGCCTACAATGTGTCAGTCTAAAACATAAGTCAATGTTAGGTAGACAAATGGAATACTCCTTGGGAAAGGAAGTCAGGCGTCACAAGATAATTCAAAACAGAAAATGGGAGAGGGCAAAAGGAAGGCCAGACCACTCCAAGTGGTAAGTTGCCTTGTCTGTTAGTACTTAAATTCACTCTACAACCTGCACAGAGACTTTGTAGAAGTCAAACTAGCAAAATCTCTCCTAAAAAAAAAAACCAAAACTCAGACTATTGCCATGTTTTCAGTCTTTTCTAGTTTTGAGCATAGAGCCCCTGTTCAATTCACACAAGTACTATCACTTCTTAAGTTCAGGACAGCTTGGGCAAGTTTACCTGCATCCAGGACCTGTGTTGCATCAGGCTGTGGCTGACACCCTTTGGAGTCTGTCACTGTCGTACATGCAAAAGAATCAAAATCCACTGTGAGGTCTTGCACATTTCTCTCATTGGCATTATCAAAGCTGTTTTTGCCATGCAGCTGTTTAAGGTGTTTCCTCAAAACTGGCTTATGTGCAAAAACCATGTCACAATAGTTACACTTATGGGGCTTATCTCCACTGTGAAGGTTAAGATGATCCTGTAAGGAACACTTCTGAGAAAAGGTTTTCCCACAGATCTTACACTGGAAAGGTTTAATGCCGGCATGCACACGCATGTGTCGATGAAGGTTGCCTTTCTGGGTAAACGTCTTGCCGCAGAGTAGACACATAAAGAGTTTGTGCATTTTTAAGTGGTTGGCGTAGTTCTCCAGGTGACGGAACACCCTGGTACACTTTGGGCATTGGTGATGCCACTGTAGGCCTTTGTCTACACCTCGAATGTTAGGCCCAAAGACATCTTTTGAGGCCAAGACGATGTTATCACTGCCTGCGTAAGAGAGGGCATAATTGTGGAGATGGTTTTGTTCTATTTCACTTACTCTGTTTTCCACAGTTGAATTTATCAGGGAGTGCTGGGGCTCTGATGAATGTAAAGCAGTGGGTTCAGAAGAAATAAACTGGTTCTGATCTTTCTTACTTCTAACCTCTGAGACATCCCCAATAGATTCTACCTTAACAATCTGAATATCACTGTCCTCCATATCCATACTGTCTTCAGATGGATGAATGCAAGGTGAGTCCTGCTTTGGGGAGCCTCTGGCATCTCCCTGCTGTTCTTTTGACTGGGGAGAAGCACTCTGTGGTTCACATCCCTCTTTACTATCCATTGCTTGTTTTGGCTTTATAAACTTCCACAAGGCCTGTGTGCACCGCTCTACAATGTGGCTCATCTGAAGAAAACTCGCAGCAGTCAAGTAATTTACCAGTTCCATCTCGGGGAATTCCAGCACACCACTATAACAGGATAAGAGCAATTGTCTCCCCACTTCGGAACTCTGCAATATGGAGATTTTCACCTCTCGGGAATCATTCAGTAAAAACTGGTCTCTTAAGAAGGGGGAACCTGCAGCAAACACAATTTTATGCCCCTGCACCTCAATATCATCTATGAGCACTGTAACATCACAAAATTTATTCTCTTCTCTTAATTTGTTCATTTTTTGTAACATTGAATCTCCATAATTTTCAAACTTGAAGTGAAGGAGATCTGATCTTTCAGACATTTTGGCAGACCTAAAGAACAGAAATGTAAAAAGGATGAATTGAAGAAAATTCAAACAATGAAGAAACCTGAGTTTTCTTTCCAAAACCAAATCTGTGTTATCATATCTGTTTGTATGTATCCAAATGAAATTTGTCTGGAAAGAGAAACAGTACAACAGCTTTCAAAGGCTGTTGAAAATTACTCCATGTCAACATCAGCGTCAACTGTACCTAAGGAGTGGACTTGTATCAGTATGAATAGCTTGGCATTCATTCAACTTTTAAAGATACAGGAATAGTACACGAGTTACTCCATGAACATTTTTTTCGCCTTCTCAAATGAGAATTCTTTCAGATTTCAAAAAGAAACAAAAACATCCCAACAAGCAATAATGACGTAACTATTTTCTTTTGCATGACACTGTGAAGCTACTTTAAAGTCTAAACACTGCTCTTTTGCTTTGTATTTTAAAGAATTGCAGTGACATTGCTTGCCCCATTCCTGGGTAAACCGTCTTCTGTTTAAAAGGACGTGTATTGATTCATACAAGTATTTCTACAATAAAATGAAAGTTACGACCTAAAGGGATAATGTATATCCTGTGCACTGGACAAATCTAATTTTCTCTTGAGAAACATTTCTTGATATAGAAAGAAGATAAAATATCTGATATAGAAAAAAACATAAGCCACTTGGTGGGAATTTGAGTAAGAGTAAATATATAATTAATTTTTACTGGACTCTGGTCTTTCTTCTTTGCCCAAATTTATACATCATATTCATCAACTGGACAACTAGAACTGACTCATATGTGTTCTTTGGCTTCCTGGTTCTATTCCTTTTAATCCAGCTCCTACACCAGCAAGTGACACCTTTAGAAAACGCAGATCTAATTATATGCAACTCCTACCTAAAGTCTTGTGACTGCCCATTGTCTTGTGGATAAAGACTAACCTTTTGAATATAAACTGATTAAGTAAACTAATAATTAAGATAAATATTGGCATACAACTTTAACTTGTCATTTTTAAAAAGTAAAATGTGTCTTTGCCATAACTCTCTGCATATTTGTCCCTTTATAGAGCAATTCCTTTGGAAAAAAAAGTCCCCATATTCTGATTCCATACTCTCCAAATAATTTTCTAGTAAGTTGGCTTCCTGTGTGTATCTCTAAAAGGAAGGGTGAATTAGCTATACCACCAGCCATTGTAAAAATAGTAAACTGGCATTCTCTGTCTATATACCAGTCTCTTGTGAGAACAGTAGAGTACCAGCTGTACCTTGAAAAAAAGCTCTATAGTTTCAGTCCATCAATAAATTCATCTTAAATTTTGAACATGCATCAACTCTGTAGTTGAGAACCAGCTGCTCTTGGCCACATCTGGATCCTAAAGCCCACTCTTTATAATTTTATCTTCTATAACATTGGCCTGCAAAGGTTTATAGAACACCAACTCCTGAAGGCAAGAGTCTAAGTCTTTTTTTAAAAATATATATTTTATTGATTTTTTTTAACAGAGAGGAAAGGAGAGGGATAGAGTTAGAAACATTGATGAGAGAAACACAGATCAGCTGCCTCCTGCACACCCCCTACTGGGGATGTGCCTGCAACTAAGGTACATGCCCTTGACTGGAATTGAACCTGGGACTCTTCTAGCCACTCAGCCAAATTGATTAGGGCAAGAGTCTAAGTCTTATATTGCTCAGTGCCTGGTGCATGATAGCACTCTACTGACTTCAAGTCTTAGCAGTTATTTCTTTAGTCTAGAACACTATTCCTAGCCAATTCTGACTTCTTTATTTCCCTCATCCTTTAGACTAACAGTTTTCTCTACTGAACTTATTGCTTGGTACTTCTATCATAACATTAAAAATCATTTATTAAGTACTTGTGCCTTCCCCTCTAAACTGCAAGCTTCACGGTATTGCACAGAAACATCGCCATCCTATTCAACAGGCTAATGTTGGGAACATCCACCTTCTAAAGCCAAACACTTTTTCCTTGCACTGTAAATTATACTTATTGCAGCCAAAACTGGTTTGGCTCAGTGGGTAGAGCATTGGCCTGCGGACTGAAATGTTTCAGGTTCGATTCCGGTCGAGGGGATGTACCTTGGTTGCAGGCACACCCCCAGTGGGGGGTGTGCAGGAGGCAGCTGATCAATGTTTCTCTCTCATCGATGTTTCTAACACTTTATCTCTCTCCTTTCCTCTCTGTGAAAAATCGATAAAATATATATTTTTTAAAAATTATACTTATTGCAGCCACATTACTGGTCAAACCCTCTTCTGTTCAAACTGGTGTGTTCTCCTGCCATCTAATACTGTACTGAACACACAGCAGTGCTCAGTTTGTGTTTGTTAAACCTATAAGATTTGTTTGGCAGTGGTAAGAAGGAAGAATTGCAGAAGCATTACAGGTCTGAGGCCATGAGAGCTTAGGAAGGAATGAAAATGGGAATATAGAGCAAAGAAAAATAACAAAAGGTATTTCATAAAACTTGGTAATTTACTGGACACAGTGAATGAAACAAGGAATGTGTGAAAGGTCTAAGTGTACAAGTTCAGCTAAATGAAACTGTCATTGAAAGAAAGGTGATATTTAGGAGGAAGAACTGGTATGGTACAGGTATATATATTTGTATATATAAAATATACTTTATTAATTTTTTTCAGAGAAGAAGGGAGAGGGATTGAGAGCCAGAAACATCAATGAGAGAGAAACATGGACCAGCCACCTCCTGCACACTCTCTACTAGGTATGTGCCTACAACTAAGGTACATGCCCTTGACCAGAATCGAACCCGGGACCCTTAAGTCCACAGGCCGATGCTCTATCCACTGAACCAAACTGACTAGGCCTGGTACAGGTATATTTACAAAAAATATACATAAGATGTAAAGAAGCAAATATTGCATCGGAGAAAATATGGTGAATATCAGATAAAAAGAAATAAATCTAGGAGATATATCAGTAAAGAAGCAGCAAAACGGTATTATCACTGGTCAGTGTTAGCAAATACAGTAGCTTAATATATTCGTTCTGGAAAGAATGAATGTCCCAATTGAAAAACAGAATTTTAAAAATGGCTATTATTTCAAGCAACCAAACAAAAGGGCATTCATTTTTAGAGTTTAGCTTGTCCTTAATCCACCCTCTGATCAGTATTTTCCCACTCACACCCCAAAATGGGCATTCACTACTTCCATCTGCAGTGTGACAGTATTCACAATACTTTATTTAGACAACTATCCTCAGGGATCATTGTTCCTTGTAGCTCCAAAGATGAGGAGCTGGAAGTTTCCTTTACTTACTCCTACCCATCAGTCTCAATAAACTTACCAAGAGGAGCAGCCAAAGAGGCATTCAGGATAGTGCTTGCATTGAATAAAAAAGACATTTCATTCTGTTTAAGAAGTTTTCAGTAATATGTGTCAGCCCACTCTATTGTTTCCCTTTGATAAACTCTTATTTCCAGGCCACACTTTATCCCTTAATTGTTTCCTGTCACTAGTTTCTCTTTCCAATAGACTGTTAATTATTTGAGGGCCAAAATCAAGTGCTACTTTTTTACACATATCATTCAATAAAACACAGCAGAATAATAAACTCTTAATGTTCCCTATGAAATTATTATTGAGTGCTCTGGGGAAAATTTCTTATGAGGGTTTATTTCTAAAATACTTCTGATAATATAAAACTAAGTTTTAAACAAGCTTTTTTTTTTTTTTTTTTTTTTACTTTTTAAAAATGACAAAATGAAAGGAAATAATGGTGTTTCTTATAAACTGGCTTAATTTTATTTAAGAATTAAGAATTAAAGAAATGGTAGTTAATCTTCACAAAAACCTTGCTAAATACCAAGTATAGGCTAAGTGCTTTACCAATATCTACCCATTTAATCCTCAAAAAGGTACGGTAAGTATTATTATTACCCCAAACTTACATATGTGGAAACTCAAGCCTGGAGAACATAAATAACCTCCTCAACTTAAGAGAGGTAGAAAGTGTTAAATATTAGAATGGAACTTGTGCCCAAACTTTGTGATGCCAAAATGTGTCAAACAACTAGGCCCGCTGAAGTGTTATAAGTATAATGTTAATTGTGGAACTCCTCAGATTTCCCTCATGTCCATTCAGATGGATGCTTATGATTTATATGCTTTTGTGTATTTAGTTCAATAAAAGACTTATGTTTAAAAACAAAAAGTACAACTTAAAGTCAAATCTGTGTCAAGTCTAAAGACCTTAATTGTAAGTGATTTATGTATTAGTCTTATCCCTGATTGTATTTTATGCCCTAACCCTTGTTTTATCTTGCTTTTTCACCTATTTTAACTGTTATATTTCCATTTTTTGTGTATTTACCTTTTGAATGAAACAATTCAATTTGCAAATAAAACAGAGAATAAAAATTACAAATATATTTGATTTATGGAGTCCCCAATTGTAGTTAACATGGAAGTATAGTAATTATTCATAATTTTCATAAAAATCACTCCTATAATTCTAGATTATGGCAGAGCTTCTAGTAACTGGAAGAAATAACTGAGCAGGTAAAATTGGTTACCACATCCTGTTGATTCTTAGAATGATTTCAAAATTCTCTCTATTCTTTTTTAAAAATATATTTTTATTGATTTCAGAGAGAAAGGGAGAGAGAGAAACATAAATGATGAGAGAGACTCATTGGTCAGCTGCCTCCTGGACGCCCCCAACTGCGGACAGAGCCCGCAACCTGGGCATCAGACCTGACAGGGAATCAAACCATGACCTCCTGGTTCATAGGTTGATGTTCAACCACTGAGTCATACCGGCTGGCTGTCTCTGTCTGTCTGTCTGTCTGTCTGTCTCTTATTATTATCATTGCCATAGTTCTGGTCCTAATCATCTATTGCTTAGATTACTTCAATTAAATCTGAATTCTAACCGAAACCGGTTTGGCTCAATGATAGAGCATAGGCCTGCAGACTGAAAGGTCCCGGGTTCGATTCCAGTCAAGGGCATGTACCTTGGTTGCGGGCACATCCACGGTAGGGGGTGTGCAAGAGGCAGCTGATTGATGTTTCTCTCTCATCGATGTTTCTAATTCTCTATCCCTCTCTGTAAAAAATCAATAAAAAATCTACCTTGTTTCCCCGAAAGTAAGACAGTGTCTTATATTAATTTTTGCTCCCAAAGATGCGCTAGGTCTTATTTTCAGGGGATGTCTTATTTTTCCATGAAGAAGAATACGGTACACATTTATTGTTAAATGAAAATAAAGGAAATTTATTACCTGTATACGGTACGGTAGTATGGTAGTTGTCAACACAAACCAGACAAACTGTGAATCCTACAGTATCAAGAATTTACTCATTTATTCAATGACAATCATGCCATCATCTTCTGGAACATCATCATAACAATCCAATTCCTGAATTTCCTGGTGAATTTCTTGTGACTCCATTTCTTTCAGAATCAGTGGACCAAATCTCTCATGTTTAGTCTAGGGGGGGCCCTTATTTTTGGGGGGATGCCTTATATTTCACTCAGAAGGAAACCTGTAAATAGGTCTTATTTTCGGAGGATGTCTTATTTTTTGGGAAACACGGTAGTTTCCATTAGCAAATTTTGAATGACCTATTTCTCAAATATTAATGTAATTCTCACTCAAGATCACTTTCGCCTTGTTTATTTATATAATTTTTCCATAATTATGTCCATGTCACAAATTTGTCAACTGATTTGAAAATTTCCCTTTGTTCAAATGTGTAACCAGAAAGGATCAATGAATACGTATTCCAAGTTAGCCAATGTTCACTGGTATGCTCTGAGCAGTGAGAAAATACCCAAGATTCTTATCTCAAACGCCTCTAATAACTACTGATAAGGAAAACTTTTCTATCTGTACAATAATCCCCAAGCTGTAGGTCAGTCTGTTTCCTCATCTACCTCATAAGTATTTTTATCTTTCAATTTAGCACTCAGAACTATTCGGAAATCTTTCTTTATCTCACTAACACTATATACCATTCTTTAAAGATGCTGTAATATACCACAGCCTTTCTCTCTATAACCCTCAATCTTTTTTTTCTTTTGGGTAACTGTCATAACACTACATTCTCCAAGTTTTCACACTTTTGTGCCCCCCCCCCCTTATTATTCTACAAAACATATACAGAAATACATCATTTCTGGAAAAATTTTGAACATTATATTGATAGATAGAGTAAAAGTCCCCTTTCCCAACTACCTTTTACTCAGTACTCAGTTTGTTCTAAGTTTGGTCCTTAATGACTCTCCCTCCCCCCATTTAAACTTTTTAGTTGATTTATTTTAAAGAGAGGAAAGGAGGGAGGGAGAGATTTGTTGTTCCATTTATTTATACGTTCATTGATTGATTCTTCTATGTGCCCTGATCTAACCAGAGATGGAACCCACAACCTTGGCGTTCCATGATGATCTAACCCAGTGGTCGGCAAACTGCGACTCTCAAGATAGGGGCTTAATCACAAGGAACAACAACAGCCTGTAATTATTGGAATCGAGAGTCTAGGTCAGTGCTTGTCAAACTCATTAGTCAACAGAGTGGCAAACTGCGACTCCTTCCCCATTTTAAAAACAACACTTCTGTATGCCTACCCACAGAAAAATAAAAAATTATGTTTCTCAGACATAAAGTATACATATCGTTTGCAACTTTCTTTTCTCATTTATTGTTTTTGAGACCTATATATGATGCATAATTATAGACCTAGTTCATTTTTTTTTAAACTGTTGTATAAAAGTGGGAAAGTTACTTAACTACTTGCTTTAATTTTCCACCAGTCTTTTGTAAGGATTCACAAAAGTATAACAGTAAATATAACCTTCACAGCTTAGTCCTTGATTTTTTCTTGTGTTTTATTTTTTTCAATGCTTACTTCCTTAGAAAGCCTGTCTGGTTTCTCCATGTTTTATTACAGTCTCTATTTAAAAACTCCTAAATCCTCACCCTCAAGGCCAACCTTAACCAACCTTAGCCAAACTTACTCAAAATACTTGCCTTAGGCTATTACAGTATCAACTGAAATACATTATGGCTACACTATTGCATTATCTAAAATTCAATCATTCAAAAATAAGAATTTATGGAGAATGGTTCTAAGTAGATGTGAAGGCAAAAAAACTTGTTAGTACGCTATTACTCAAGCAGATCAAGTTAGAAATGATGAGGACTGAACAGAGATGGTAATAATTACGGATGGAGAGAAGAAACAGAAGTGAGAATTTTTCCAACCAATCAACCGATGAACTTGGTGACCAAGGGGACGAACAAGAGAGGAAATGTCAAGATGACACCAAGATATTTGGCTAGAGTGACTGGATGTCTTTAAGAGTGCCATTCAATAAGTTAGGAAATACTGGAGGGGATGATCATGGGTCTGGTCATAAAATGTTTAGTCAGAGGAGCCGGCATGACATCAAGGGCGAGTTGGATATGAGTCTGAAGTTGAAGAGGAGACTAGATTATAGATTGTAAGCGATAGATGAAAGCGTGGCATCAATTGACCTAATTGTGAAAGAAATGGACCTAAAATGGCACACATTGAAAGAAGAGCTAAGACAGGAGGAAAGAAATAAAAAAGAAATACATAACAAATGCAAAACCATTACTTACCTTCTTTTCAATCTGAATCTCTTTCCAAGCCTCTCCATTTTTACCAATGAGCTTACCTTTGCTTAAAAATTTCCCACTCCTTTGACTCCCATATTTAGTCACTGCTTACTTTAGTAGAATAAAGCTCTGGATTCTGGGGCCATATTTCCTAGAATCAAAACCCTGCTCAACCACTTATAGCTGTATGACCTGGGGCAAGGTATTTAGCCACTTCTGTGCTTCTGTATACCCAGTGTCAAATAGTAATATTACTTCATAAAGTTGTTATGGGAAATTGAATTCATTTTAAAGTATTAATAAATTAAATTTAAAAATCAAATTTATTAAAAAAAAAAAAAGCTTAGAACAATACCTGGAATGAGCTCTATAAGCATTTCTTAGGTCAATTCTAGTAAACAAATAGAGCCTGTAAATTTTCTCTAGAAAAGCCTTCATATGTGGCCTTTTCTCCTCATTTAACAAACCAGTTGAGAACCATTATTTCATATAACATCACCTTATCACTCTGCTGAAATTGTTTTTATTAATAGAAAGATCATTATTCAAAAAATTCAATATTTCTCCCCCACCCTACCCCTCATTCCCCCGAATGCTCTGCATGAATTGTTCCAGTGGCTTCCTTCTGAATATCTCTTCTCCTGATTTCTGGATCTTTTTGGTTGTAGGAACTTTATATTTTTACACTTTGTCCCCTAAGACTGCTTCTGCTGTTATACTAACTACTATTTCATAATGCACCCATTCCCCAAATTATTCCCTTCAATATCAATATCTTCCTGTTAACAACTATCCCCATAACTTCCACCTCTAGGCAGATGACTCAAACCTTTATCTCTTCAACTATACACTGGAAAGTTCCATTATACCCCACCCTCAAAAGCCAATTTATTATGGAGTCTTCACACCATTCACAACAGCACACTTGCTTCCTTTCCAGTAATACACTCATAACTCCATTTCAGGATTTCATTACTGCTCACTAGGCTGATATCATTACTCCTTAAAAAAACAACACACACACAAAACAAAACAAAACAAAACAAAAAAAAACATTCAATAAGTATGCCTAGATTTGCTAAAGGGTTCAGAATCAGTCTATAGAAATTTCTATTCTATAGACTGATCTCCAGAATAATATGGCTTTCTACAGTGCAACTTTGACTTTATCATTCTCCCCCTTAAAATTCTGAAGACAATCCACCTCCTTTAGGATTGAACCTTTCACTATCTGGGCCTCGGACTATTTTCCCAATCTCAAATCTTAACTACACACAAGGATTTCTCCCCCCTCCCCCCTCACATACACCCCCAATCCCTCCTCTCCCCACACAAGTTATGCTCAGTCATCCTTCCAAAGCATTGCAACTGTTTCTTCTGCCTGAAAAGCTCTTCACCTGATGTTCAAGAAGTGTAATTCAGAGGTCACTTTCTTCAGCCTTCCCAGCCACTGCCCCTTGAGCAGTTCACCCATGTATGACTCATAATACATACTGCATTGTAGGAGCACTTATTTGTTTGTATCTGGCTCCCAAACTTGACTATAAAAATTGGGACGATATCTCAAGGATCCCCAGTGCCTGGCACAGCACCAGGAACATAAAAGGTGCTGTAGCCATTGGTAGCTGATGGGCAGGAAACCCGGGCAAAAGGATAACCTCATAGTGATGCCCGCGGGTTGGCGCCAAGGCCTTGCCAAAGCCTCAGCTCTGGCACTTCCTACAACAAGATGCCAGCGCCAGGCGTCCAAGCTCACAGCCAGGACCTCGGCCGGGGTCACAGCAGGAGGTCCGGGAGCATCCTCCAACTCCCCGCTCCGGAGGAGGAAAGGGAAAGGGGCGGGGCGCAGCGGGGGCCGGGCCAAGGGCTCCTGAAGTCCCCCCGGGCCTAGGCCAGCCCCTCGGCCCCCATCAGGTCCTCGCCGATCGAGGGCCCCGAGGGGCTCCATCCTGAGAGACCCCGTACCCCTGCCCGGTCCTCTGGCCGCCGCCGCACTTACAGACCCAGGGGAAGGAAGGCCACGGTCAGTATCCGGCACCGCCAGGAGCTCCGGCCCCTCGGGGCTCCGGGATGGGGGAGGGGCGGGGAGCCCGAGCCAAAGGGGGACCCAACGGAACCGGAAGGGCAGCCCTCGCGGACAGGGACCACTTCCAGGTCCCATGGTCCTCTCCGCCAATCGGAAGGCTCGACAGGCGACGGGGGGCCGCCGGAGGGAATTTCCACGCCGAGGGTGGGAGTGCGGGTCGAACGCTTTGGACTCCAGGGGCAAGCATTGACTCCCGAGACTTGGGGGGCGTGGAGGTTCCTTAGCGTTTGGGGTTCTGGCTTCTCAGCGGCTCCTCTCGAGCTGGATCTCGACCATCTGCTGCCTGCATGGGCCTGAAGGGCGCCTCGGCGCTGAAGCGTTGGTAAGTCTCGCCTAGGGATGCGGACTTGCTTTTGGATGTTGGTGTTCCCCGGGGATCTCGCATTCTTGTGGCTTCCATCCCCAAATCTCTCACGCCAGCCCAGACGGCTGTCCTGAGCCAACTGCCTACAAGACATCTTCAATTGAATGTCCTAATGCCAATGTACACTGTGTCTCCCTCCCCGCCATGTACCTGATGACCTTATCTCAAGTTCATCTGGCTCTTATCTCCCATGGTCCTTGTGGCATCATCCACGACGCAGCCCTGCCAACCAGGAAACTACAACATCCCAGACTCCTTTTCCTTCTCCTTGCCAATCCGGTTGCTCCCTGGGTTCTCCCTCCTTGGAGGACGTATTGTGGTAGAACACTCATAGTTATCATTTTAATAATTTGTAAGTGTAGAAAGTTCTGGGGCATCAAGTACATTCACAATGCTGGGTAATCGTCATCACTGGTATACCTAACCAACTTTATTCTTGAGTTTGTGGATAGCGTTTTCTCAGGACTGTTCGTTGAAAAGACATTTCTTTCTCCATCGACTGTTCTTGGCACCTTTGTTGAAAAATCAACTGACTATGTATGTGAGGGTTTATTTCTGGGCCCTCTGTTCTATTGCATTGAACTATTTGTCTGTCCTAATGCTAGTCACATATTTTTGTTTTGTTTTAAAATATATTTTTTATTGATTTCAGAGAGGAGGGGAGAGGGAGAGAGAGAAATACACATGATGAGAGAGAATCATTGATTGGCTGACTCCTGCCCGCCCTCTACTGGGGATGGAGCTGGCAACCCAGGCGTGTGCCCTTCACTGGAATCAAACCCGGGACCTTTCAGTCCCCAGGTGGACACTCTATCCACTGAGCTAGAGCTGTAACTAATGCTTTAATTGTTGTCATTTTGTACTACGTTTGTTGTTGTTAATCCTCCCCAAGGATGTTTTCTCTGTTGATTTTTAGAGAGTGGAAGGGAGGGAGTGAGGGAAAGAGAGAGAGGTATAAGTACAGAGAAAGAGGGATATAAGTAGAGAGAGATTGGCCTTATAGCTTTTGTGCCTTCATTTTCTTCATTACTGCCTTTTTCTATGTTTATTTGATTTTTGTAGGGAAATGTTTTAGTTCACTTGTCATACCCTTCTGTGTATTTTCTGTAGATACTTTCTTTGTGGTTGCCATGAGAATAACACTTAATAGCCCAAAGTTATAACATTCTAATAGAATTGATACCAACTTCAATACCATACAAAAACTCCTACTGTACAGCTCTGTCCTCTCTTCCCATTATTGATGTAATAAATTGCATCTTTAAACATTTGTGACCAATAATATAGATTAATATTTTTATGCATTTCTCTTTTAAGTCATGAAGAAAATAAAAAGTGGACCTACAAGTCATAATTAAAGTAATGCTTGTGGCGAAACCCATTTGGCTCAGTGGATAGAGCATCAGCCTTCGTGTGTGTGTTTGTTTTTTTTTTGTTTTGAAAAAAAATATATTTTATTGATTTTTTACAGAGAGGAAGAGAGAGGGATAGAGAGAAATATCAATTAGCTGCTTCTTGCACACCCCCTACTGGGGATGTGCCCACAACCACGGAATGGAAACCGGGACTTTTCAGTCCGCAGGCAGAGGCTCTATCCACTGAGCCAAACCGGTTTCGGCAGAGCCTTCGGACTAAAAGGTCCCAGGTTCGATTCTGGTCAAGGGCATGTACCTTATTTGCGGGCACATCCCCAGTGGGAGGCGTGCAGGAGGTAGCTGGTCGATGTTTGTAACTATCTCTCTTCCTCTCTGTAAAAAATCAATAAAATATATTCAAAAAAATAAAGTAAGGGGGGGGCATGGTAAGATATGTACACAGGTAATAATTTAATAAAATTTTTTAAAAAATAAAATAAAATGAATAAATCCGACTTAAAAAAAAAAGCAATACTTGCTTTTATAATTGTCCATGTATTGACACTGAAAGGAGATACTTATATTCTCATATGGCTTCTAATTACTGTCAAGTGTTTTTTTAGGTCAACCTGAAGCCTTCCCCTTTGCATTCTTGAAGGGCAGGTTCAGTGGTAACTAACAGTAACAAACTCCCTTGCCTTTTTTTAAAATTAGGGAATTTGTTAATTTCTCCCTCATTTTATTGATTTTCAGAGAGAGGAAGGAAGGGAAATGGGGAGAGAAAGAGCGAAATATCAATGATGTGGATCATCTATCGGCTGCCCACACCAGCGATCCAGAGATCCAGCCCACATCCTGGACATGTGACCTGGAATCAAACTGTGACCTGGTTTATGGGTCAACATTCAACCACTAAGCCACACCAATGGGACTCTCCCTTATTTTTGAAAAACAGTTTTGCTAGATATAGAATTATTTGTCAACACTTTTTTCTTTTCTTTCAGCACTTGGAATATTATCAACCCACTACTTTCTGGCTTCTAAGGTTTAGGATGAAAAATTGGCTGTTTATCTTATGGATGGTCCTTTGTATTTCTTTCTTGCTACTTTCAAGATTTTTTTCTTTGGCTTGCTACAGTTTGATAATTATTCTTCCTCCTCTTTCTCTCTTCTGCTGGGATTCCCACAGGGGTATTTTGTTTCTCTTGACAGTGCCCAATAGATCCCTATGCCTCTATTCATTTTTCTTTCTTTTTTTCTTTTTCTGTTCCTCAGATGGAGTAGGAAGTGCAAGGAACTCATCTCTCTACCTAGATAATAATTGTCCTGGCAGAATCTCAAGTAGCTATTTTTGGAATTCTGGAGTCTATTTGAAAACGTGCATTTTACAGGGGAAAGCTTGGTTGGTAAATTGAGCTTTATTTCAGTGTCAGCCTTCAGTGTGATAACACCTAACCATCTCCTACCCGTTCAGCTTGTGGCAGGCAGTCATCTTTATATTCAAGTGTGCTTGCTGGAGCCAGCATAGGAAATCAAAACCTTGTTCTCCAAATACTTGGGTTCTGTATTATATGACATATAACTTATGGTATGTGCTAGTTCAAAATGTTTGACTTTAATCCATTGAAACTGGAAGCTATGTCTCAAGGAAATAGAAGGTCTAGAGCAAGCATGTCAAACACAACGAATATTTTTGCGGTCCAGCTAATATAATTGTATGTAAGAAATGATTTAATAAAAATTTTGTTACTTAATTTTTACAATATCCTGTAAATATTGTACATAACTATTAATAATGAACAAAATGTTCCCTAAAGGCCGAAACTGGTTTGGCTCCGTGGATAGAGCATTGGCCTGCGGTTCCATTCCGGTCAAGGGCATGTACCTTGGTTGAGGACATATCCCCAGTAGGGGGTGTGCAAGAGGCAGCTGATCGATGATTCTCTCTCATAGATGTCTCTAACTCTATCCCTCTCTCTTCCTCTCTGTAAAAAATCAATAAAATATATTTTTTTTAAAAGTTCACTAATGACTGATTACTGTAACCATGTTACACATATTTCCCTACTTGCCTTATTTGCAGGCGCATCATTTATCTCCACTAATATTAGCAGCGAATATTTTAGCAGCCAATTGTCACGTCATTAGTCTTGTACTGGCTTCTTTGGTGCGCACACCACCAAATAATTTCACTTTTGGAGAACAAGAAAAATAGGTTTATTTGTGTTGTGCTTATTTGTGCAGTTATTCAGTCTCTGGTAAGTTAATGTTCAAGAAAAAATACTAAATTTTATTAAAATGTTCTATTATTTTATGTTAATGATTACTCATTTATTTCAGCCCTTTGTATTCAGCATGACTATCAAAATAAACCTACGTTTCTATGAAAATTGAAGCTTTTGTTTTTTTGCAGCCCACATAAACTTAAACCTTGTTTATATGGCCCATGTTAGCCTTTGAGTTAGACATGCTTGGGAGAGGGACAAATTCAATGACCTTGAGGAAGCAACTATTTGGATTCAGAAGGTTCTTAAAGTGGTCTAATTTCTTTAATAAATCAATGTCTTTACATTTTTTCCTTAAGTGCTAGATTAAAAAATACTTGGGGACACTACTAGATGCAATACGTGGCCCTAGATTTGATACTAACTAGGGAAAACTAGCTCTTAAAAAATGTATTGCAGGTAACAGCAAATTTGATTATAGTTAGGTATTAAATTAAGATTTACTGAAATATTACTGATTTGGGAAAGCCAACAGGAAAAACATTGTTAGGTTGATATAAAATTTGAATATGATCTAGGAATTATATGAGAGGAAAGTTGAAATAATGTATATGTTGTTTGTTAAATAAAGTAGGTTTCTAGCCAAGCCGGTTTGGCTCAGTGGATAGAGCTGCCAGCCTGCTGACTGAAGGGTCCCAGGTTTGATTCCTGTCAAGGGCATGTACCTTGGTTGCGGGCACACCACCAGTAGGGGGTGTGCAGGAGGCAGTTGGTCGATGTTTCTCTCATTGATGTTTCTAGCTCTCTATCCCTCTCCCTTCCTCTCTGTAATAAATCAATAAAATATATTTAAATAATTAAAAAAAGATTTCTATACTGTTTCCTCATTTTGAAAAACAATTATGATGACACTGAAGGATGTATAAAAGTATTAACATTGGTTGTGGGAATGTGATATTTTTATTTGTTATTTTAGCTTGTGTATATTTTTCTCTAAGATATACTATTCTGTAATAAAGTTTTGTTTCAAAATTTTCTCTTAAGGTTTACATATATGTTGGGGTGTACATGAGTCA